AGATGTAAAGAATAATTTTTTTACTTAAACTTGTCTATGTTTCAGAAGCCTGATATTTCTCACGAACTTCGTATGAACAGACTTCTTTTTTATACTGTTCTTTACGAAACTACATTTGCCGAAATGCTTCTATACTGAAAACTCTATACACACGTACACCATGAAAGTGTGTCACATTTTTATAGCAACTGTAGTCGCGAAGTACGACATTCTTTGTGATAGAAAATGGTAAAGAAAAGTGGAGGAGAAGTCTTGAAGTTCGAAAGTTGGAACTTCGCGATCCTTACAAACGTATTATCTGAGGAAACTCACCGTAAAGTCGAATGTTTCCTTCCGCATCGCCAATCGAGTTCTTCGAGATGCACTTGTAACCACCGAGGTCCTGCTTCTGCAGATTCATGATCACCAAACGCATCTGAACACTGTACACCGATGTCTTTATCTCTGACATCGCGTATTTCTGGTTGCCAATTATCATTTCGCCTAGAATAAAGAAAAATTTCCCTTCTGAGAAACGTATTATACGTTGTAAGAAGAACGTTTATTAAGAAACTAAAGAATTATCATAGTTTCTCTTTGGTTTTGTTGTATTAAAAAGAAATGTAAATATGTTGGAGCTGTTAAAAGTTAGAAGTTCTTCTAATTTAGACGATGAAAATTTTTAGAAATTTCAGAAATCTGAATTACAATGTTGCATACGTTTAATTCTACCTGTGACTACTTTGCACGATTGCGATTTGAAAACGACGACCGACGAAACAGAGGCTTTTGAATTATTTCCCAGGCATGCGAGCACGAACCTTTTTAGTTTATTGCTATTTAATTCACAGCAGGAAAATGCATGTTTTACGAATATATTTTATACGTATTGTATGCTACGAAAAGTATTTCTTTGTTTCACTTTTTTGATTTTCTATTGAAATTGGAAAATTTAGTAAAAAAGGTTAGGAAAATTAATTTCCATTCTGAATAACTTTCTAGTGTTACCAAAAATGTTTCACTTCCTCAATTTTCTGTTAAAATTAGAAAAATTTATGAAAGAAAGATTAGAAAAATTTATTTCCATTCTGAAAAACTTTTTAATGTTCCAAAAAATGTTTCACTTCCTCAATTTTCTGTTAAAATTAGAAAAATTTATGAAAGAAAGATTAGAAAAATTTATTTCCATTCTGAAAAACTTTTTAATGTTCCAAAAAATGTTTCATTTCCTCAATTTTCTATCAAAATTCACAAAATTTAGCACAAAAGATTAGAAAAATTAATTTCCATTCTGAATACATTTCTAATGTTCCAAAAAATGTTTCGTTTCCTCAATTTTCTATCAAAATTCAAAAAATTAGAAAAATTAATTTCCATTCTGAATACATTTCTAATGTTCCAAAAACTCTTTCACTTCTTCAATTTTCTACCAAAATTACAAAACTTAATTTCCCTTCCGAACAACTTTCTAACAATCCACAAAAGTACCGCAAAATACAAACCTTCTTCAAAATCACTTCACACAGAAAAACACACGAAACCACTTTGCAAAACAGTTAAAAAAAAATGGAAGCTTCTAAGGATCCGGTAAAACGGCAGCTTTCGATCTATACAATACTAGACTTCGCGTCGCATTTAAATTTCTGTACGTGACTTATCTTCGTGGCTCGCCAGCGAACACGCTTCGTCGAATTATTATTTTACCCAGTGAACGAACCAACAAAAAATTCAGTTTCTATCGGACTCGTTAATAAACCTATCGGATTCACACGCTCTTCGACATCTTTCAAATAAAATCTTACAAACATTTCGACGAAACACAAACGTTCAACCGCGATGTTGTTCTCCAGTTATATACATATATGTATATATAGCGGATAAAATAAACGACGATCGAATACAGTTAATTGAATCTTACCTGATTCGCGTGTCCAATAATTAATGGCCTTTGGGGAAGCTTCGACGTGGCAAACCAGCGTAACGTTGGTTCCAGTTGGCGCGCCGACTAGCTGGTTCGGTACTTGAACCATCGGGTGAACTGCAATTTATTGCGACGCCATTAATCAATGGCCAAACATAAAGTATACGTATATGTAATAATTATCGGCCACGCCGCGATTTGTCACACCGCCACTGATACGGATCAATGATACGTAACGCGCCGACACGTTCGGTTAAAGTAAATTCGATCGCGTGAAATTGCGTATCGCGGTCGTCGAATCTGAGGAAATTTATTTGTGAAACGGGTATCGTTTGTTTCGAATGATAGAGTTCGAGTTTGCGAACGGACAACGCGCTTTTTTTTCGCGGTTTCAAAGTCGAGCTTTTTTTGGACGAAGGATGTTTGGTCTGACTTTGATGAAATGTCGAGGGTATATGACTAAAGATTCAGCGAGGATTATGTGCGATCTTGAATTGCTTTGTTTTTAATGGTGTAAATAATTTGGGAATATTTTTGAGATTTTGGGTTTGCATAGATTAAGAGAATAATTGAAGATTGAGCTAGGATCAAGTGTAATCTTGAATGGCTTTATTTTCAGTGAATTAAGAATTTTGGAATATTTTTGAAATTTTGGATTTTTATAGATTAAGAGAATAATTGAAGATTGAGGTAGGATTAAGGGTAAGCTTGAATTGCTTTATTTTGAATAGTGAATTTCGGATGGAATTAAGAATTTCTGAGTGAATTAAGAATTTTGGAATATTTTTGAAATTTTGGATTTTTATAGATTAAGAGAATAATAGAAGATTATGGTATGATAATAAAAGATGGAGCTAGGATTAAGTGTAACCTTAAATTACTTTATTTTCAGTGGTGTATTATAAATAATTTGAGAATATTTTCGAGATTTTGGGTTTGTGTAGATTAATATTATAGAATAATTAGCAACAGGTGTTTATATTTAACAAGTTCTGAATTTTTAAGAAATTAACCCTTTCCTTTACAATAATGAATCAACTCATGGTATAGATTATGGTTAAGGTATAACAAAACTGAATTCTTTTTGCAATAAATTTCAATTTTAACTCTAACTTTAGTTTTAATTCATAACTTTGTAGATTATTAACTGTGAAATCACTGTGCATGCAAGTTACACAAAAATTTCCAGAAAAAAGTTAACAATTTTTAAGAATTTATAACGAATTTTTTATCATTCAATTCTAGAAAAAAATAGTAGTACATCCATTGCAAAATCAAAAATTACAGCGATGATTATAGTGATTTTCCTGTCAGATTAAAAAAGAACTGATTAAAAGTCGCAAACAGAACACTGCATAAACCCACTCGAAAATAGGTTAGGTTACCGTGCTTAATCATCGTTACGTCAATCAGTTCTGGTTGTTTCCTAAAATTGAAACTGAACTATCGACTCTGTATCCGGTGTAAAATTGAATTCCAATAAACGAAAAAAGAATTAAATTTCCGCTCTATCTCTACTTTTATTTTGCATCCAAAACAGGAGCTCAATGCTGTAGGGATGGAAGAACGTTTAAACTTTTTCTCTCTCTCTCTCTCTCTCGGAAACTTATATCAACGTAAGCAGTTTAATGAGACCCCAGGGTGCTATTCTCAAGGAGAAGAATAAACATACGTTATCGTACGCATCGTTTATTCCACGTTTTCCTCTCTTTCAGTGTTCTTCCCGGAGTTTTAACTACAATCTGTCTTTTTTATCGCACCTCTTGTCACTTTGCTCGACAGATTCTTAAAATAGTATTAATGTATTCCCAATTTGACACTACTGATGTGAGTAGAAAAATAGAGAAAAATTAACCGCGAAAATTTGAACGAATATGAAACATTTTGTAATGAAAGCTAAGTAAAGGTTAACAATCATCGATATTGATGAAACTTTGGTATATAGTAAGACTTAAAAAAATATTTGACACGTATTTTTTTTTTTTATTTGCAATCATCCACATGAAAGGAGAGAAAATCGCTTTCAAAGATAAGGCAAATATACACATTTGGTCGAAATTATTTATTATTATTAATTTTTCAAATTTGTTGCTGAAAAATACAAAATTCGTCAACTTACGCGATTCCTCTATCTCCAATAATTTTCGAGGTATCAGACTGAATATATTTCACACCTCCAACTTTTAGGGCGATTTTCATCTTTTCGCTGTGAATAATTACCGATACAAAAGAATACATATCAAATGTTTTTTCGAAAACTACTATACACCAAAGTTTCATCAAAATCGGTGATTATCGCTTCGAGATGTTCCCTTGCAAGTAAAGGAACCAAACACATGCATCCTTCAAACCATAAACGACCACATACACAACAACTTTTACCAATATTTTCCTTCTCCATCGTCACTTTCCACGAAAACCAAATTCACCAAATCGTTATTTCCTAATTTCCGCGACATCCTCATTATCAGCGGGCGGCCAGATCTCCTGTAACTTCGTTTACACACCCGCATCAAGTCAAGCTCCGATGCGAGCTTCGAATTTAATTTAAGACGAGCATTCGTTACGAACTTCTGTGAAACCGTGTCACTGTAACAGTTTCTCGTTTTCCCCGGGCGAATCCGATTTTCTTCTCCTTGGCAATTGTGCACCAGAGAAGGTTGACTCTCTCTCTCTCTCTCTCTCACCGAGCAAAAAGTAGAAGAGCGAATCTGTGGTGGTAAAAATAACAAAGATCGCGAGCCGATGCATTTCACCACCCCCCACTGCCTTGGTTGCAATCGCCTTACGTTGTATTTCACGGTGCTCGTCCCTTTGTCGCGGCCATTAGACGCGATGCTTGGGGAGCCGCGTAACTTATGGTAATGAAATGCTGGCATGCCTGACAGTCCTGTCATTTAGAAGGTACGGAAGGTAACTCGCCGCGCGGCACGTCTTTCATTCCGAATATCGTAAGCAGCTTTCCGTGAGCTGCTTAGGTTTTAACAGCCACCCTTGCCGACCAGTTCTTTTGACCGGAGAGCAAGAGGATAGAGGGTGAGTTTGCGTTTGTTCGTACATTTCAAGGGAAGAGCATGGACGAAATGCTTACTGTGCCTCCCGACGACAACGACGACGACGACGCTTAATCTACGTACGTACTTATATATGTACTTCCAAGGTAAGTTGATAAAAGTGGTCCAAATGCAACCGATCGGACTCTTGTTCCATTGGTCGAACGGATTTCCCGATTGTTTTTGAGAGTAACGGAGCTTCGAGATGGATATTGTTGCGAGGTATCGAGGGTGATCGTCGTTGAGATACACGGGGGAAGTGTTCGAGATTCGAAGGGAAAGATACATGGGGATTATTTTGGATAAACGAGGAGAGAAAAGGCTGTTGTTTCTTGCGACGTAATCGTCTGATCAAATATACGCTCCGTTTGTTTTTTTTTTTTTTTTATGTGAGTAGTAAAGAATTTTCTGACTTGGAGCTTGAGTCAGTTTTGCATATTTTTGTTCACTTCTTTGTTACTGTGGAACTTGGGAGTTTAACGAAAGAAATTTGATGGGGTGAGATCTAGACCTCAGCCTAATCCTTTCAAGGATTCCAACTTATGACTTTGAAAGTATCGTGCTTCTTATTTAGGTATTTTTTCAACCAGAGCTCTTTCTCTCTTTACTCATTAAATTACTTTATTAATTACCATTATTCGAGGCGATAGAGAAGCGAATCATACGAAATAGGGGTGAGATCTAGACCCTAGCCTAATTTTTCCTAATTTTCTAATTTCTCAACGTTTCTTTATGTATACTGAAATAATTCTTTTCAAGGATTCCAACTTATGACTTTGAAAGTATCGTGCTTCTTATTTAGGTATTTTTTCAACCAGAGCTCTTTCTCTCTTTACTCATTAAATTACTTTATTAATTACCATTATTCGAGGCGATAGAGAAGCGAATCATACGAAGTAGGGGTGAGAACTAGACCCTAGCCTAATTTTTCCTAATTTTCTAATTTTTCAACGTTTCTTTATGTATACTGAAATAATTGTTAAACAGCTGTTTTATGTCAATGACGATCCCAACTTATGATTTTGAAAGCATCGTACTTTTCTATCAGACTTTTTCCTCTCTCTACTCATTAACCCTTTAACCTACAACAACGTGTCAGACTCGTGGGAGAGATTCTGGTGAAGATGTGAGAAAAATAGTTATATTAGTAAGAAAAATTAATTGTAGTCCTAACTTTCGTTTTAACTTGCAAGATTAAGAATTCTTAAATGCCATCAATCTGTAACAGATTAGCTTTTGTTACCTGATACAGTACTAAAACATTAAATGGCTGACGCTTACATGCCTAGTCAGAAAAGTAATCATAGGTTAAGGGGTTAAACGACCCTTTTTCCAGACGGTAGAGAAGCGAATCATACTAAACATTTTTTGCCCAGTGAAACGTTTACTTCTGTATCTGAGAAAATGGAAATTAAGAAATTCTCTAAAAAGTGTTAAAAACGACAGAATTTTAAGCTGCAAAATGTAAGAATATAAAATTACAAAATATTAAGGGGCCGAGTACGATCTTGTATTTAGATAGCCGGAGAATATTTACAAGCTCGTAACGAGATTGTCGAAATAGCAGGAACGTGATCGAGTTTGAAGGCTACTTCGAAAAGGGTAAACTTGGTTAAGATCAGAATTGAACTGTACTTCGATGGGAACTCCACGATGACTACGCATATACCAACGAGTACCTTACAAACTAAATCTTAACTCAGTGAAGTCCGCGTCGTGCATAACAGGAAAACAAATCTGCAGTTTCTCGCGTACCCTTGAGATTTGTAGGTTTGCGATGGAGTATACCGTGATTCCTTTGACTCCCTTGCGAGAGGAAAATACATTTTCCATACCTGCTAGTTTACAAAATAGCATTTCGCTACTTTTTATTGAAAGAAGCTCGGAAATTTCGTGGAATGTTCAAGACGTATTAATCGACGTGACTAACTCCGTGAAATTAAATTTGTCAAATTTTTTTTATTTATGAAGAATTAAGCACGTGCTTCGAAAGTGAAGTTGATTATCTCGATTTCTGAGTGGTTTGATTATAATTCGTAAATATTTCCTACTCGACGTTTAATA